GAAAGCCAGCGCCTCGCACGAGACATCCTCCAAATCTGCCCCGAGAGCGGAGGATGCTGAGCTGGCCAACAGGAAGACCGCTCGAAATATCCCGCCATGTCGGCGCGATCGGAAGCCGTGGAATACCCCTGGCGGTTCTCCACTGGGGGTGCTGACAACCGCGCCTCGCTCGAGACATCCTCAGAATCTGCTGTGAGCGCAGACGAACCTGGCCCCCAAAACAAACAAACCGCTCGAGACGTCCTCGCCATCTGGGCCTCCTGGGGAACCGAAAACCAACGCCTCGCACGAGACGTTACTTCTCATCTGCATCCTTCGTCATCTGCACCATCATCGTTGTCACCCTACTCTCATCGTCATCAGGGGGAGGAAGACAAGGGAGGAGGGTGTGTGTGTGTGAGGAAGGTCCGCGCGGTCACAATAATAACAAGAAACATATCAGGGCAAAGGGGAAAAAGAACAGCATCAGCTCGACGCGGGCAGCTTGAAGCGCAAGCAGCACATTATTTCTCTTTCTGTCTTTCTCTCTCTCTCTCTCTTTCTTTTTTTCTCTCTCTCTCTCTCTCTCTCTCTCTCTCTCACTCTCTCTCACTTGAAGTCGGCGGCGCAATGGAGCCTCAGGCGCGGTCGGCAGGTGGAGGTGCCAATGGCGAAAGAATATAGTCGAACGCGCCAGGATGAAGAATGTGGGACTGTCAAGCCAGGATGCAGCGGCCAACGAACCCGCGGAGCGGAAGGTCGACGTAAGCGCGAACAGCAATTTGGTGCGAATTATAGCCTGGGAGACGACGAAAGAACTTTAAGGCTGTCAATCCAATCTGCTTGGCGCCTGCGCAAAGCGCCCAAGCAGCGCGACAAAGCGACAGAACCGACCTTGCAAAAAGCACGACAAGAGCGTCGTGCATCGGAAGGCAAGAGGTCGGCGTACTGAAATAAACGCACGGCCGAGGCTGACACAGCCTAGGGCTAGGCCGAGGTGCCCGTGGGAGCACACAGCCAAGGTACCAATGGTAGCGCAAGCACGCCAGTACCCTGGCCAGCACGCGAAGTGCAAGACACCGCCAGGCCGCGTCCCCGGAAACCCCGGAGAGACAAGAAGCCAGGCAACCAAAAGCCCGCCGCCTAAGGCGGTCGGGAAGTACGGAAACTTGCCAACAGAGGGCACACACAAGCATACATACATGCAAATATACATGCATACATGCCTGCATACAGACAGACAGACCGACCGATCGACCGACAGAAAGATAGACCGACAGACAGACACGCATACACACACACACACACACACACACACACACACACACACACACACACACACTTTTGCGTCGGCGGCTGGGCAAAGGTCGACTGCTCCGGCGGGATGCCAACAGGGGACACGCTGTACGCAAAGTAAGGCCGCGATGCAAGGGAGGAGGAGGAGGAGGAGGAGGAGGAGGAGGAGGAGGAGGAGGAGGAGGAGCCCCGGCGCGACAGGAGGAGAGGAAGCCGGGCCCACTCAGGCAAGTCACCGGCAGAGGCAGGGGGAGCGCCGAGAGGGGGAACACACACTCACACACACACACACACACACTCACACACACAGACACACACACGCTCACACACACCGTTTCAACAGTCAAGCGACCGCCCCTCTCCAGAGAAGTGAGCCTCGGGAGCATCTGCACCGCCACGCGCAGCTGCACCACCATGTGCGGGCTCAGCGGCCTGCGCCACAAGGATTGGTGGCGCCCCCCCATGCTGTTAGCGATTCTCCTGCGCAGCCTGCTCTTTCTGCTTCTCCTTGGCTCCTGTCAAACATTGCCCGAGTGCCCAAGAAACCGACGAATGAGCGAAAGTGACGTTCCATGTGCACTTCGCGACAGGCATACCCAGCAATGACTTGCGACACCAACCTACCCTCGGCATCTCAAAAGGCGGGGAGACTTAGAGCACATTAGCACATCCACGCAGCGACACAGGCGCAGCGGCCATGCTCAGCAGGCACATCCGAAACAGCAGGAACGACATCAGCATCTGTGAAGGCCAGACCCAGCCTTGCACAACCAGCTTCTAAGCTGAAGTTATGGTTTGCAAGCATCATGTGTTCAAGCTCGGCTTGATTGGTCTGCACACGCTGGCCCTGAGAGGGTTCACCCCTGGCCGCTCGCATTAGTTGTAGTCACACAGGGTTCTGCATATGCACATGTTGCAGCACCACTGCGAGCCTGTACGAATGCTATCGCGCAGCCTGCTTCTCGATTGGTACATTTGGTGGCGCGCTGACCAACAGACGCGTTTGCCAGCTGCCTCGAAAGCGGCTCAACCGATGCACAAGACAGAGAAAGATCCTGGCCCCAGCACCAGGCGAAGAGCATTCGAACATTATGCCAGTAAACGTCGCGAGGAATGAGAATGACTCTGGTCGTCTCGCGTTACATGACCAGGTCCACGAATCCACGCGAGGTGAGAACACCACCAAGCGGGTTTCATAGACGAACAGGCGCAAATGGTGCCACCTGTATGAACGATCCCTCGCACGCACCTCACGTGAGACACATCCGCGGAAATTGCGGCGCTGTCACACGGGCAGGTATCGCAAAAAGGGTTGTGCTCTGAGGTGCTACGCTGCCAACCCTCTACGAGGCAATGCCTCGAATGGGCACTGTTGCCATCTCCTCTCTCAACATCCCGCATCTCCCCGCTCGAGTTCTTCTCCTCCCTCCTCTCTGTGTTTCCGTTCTCCGCCACCGTGTCACAGACTGCGTCCCCTTGCACGTTTAGGCGTGGAAGAATGCCAAGGTCTGTCTGATAGGGATGCTTGAATTCTAATATGGGGTACTCCCCCTCCCTACCCGCAGGCTCCTGCGTGCATCGCGTCTTCTTTCCGAAGCCACTTCCCTCGTGCCCGATTGAGGATGGTGCACTTCCAACATGGCAGCTGATGCCTAAACACCCATTCCACGCGTGCCCGCTCGAGGACGGTGCATTTCCCGCCTGGCAGCTAATGCCTGAACCCGCATTACATGCGCGCCCGCTCGAGGATTGTGTACTTCCCGCATGGCTGCTAACTCCTAGACCCCTCATCCCACGCGCGCCCGCTCGAGGATCGTGCACTTCCCGCCTTCCCAGGCGCTGCTCCCAAGCGCTCCAGGGCCTCCCAAGCCACGATCCCTCGTTCAAAAACGAGGGATATGCGCCCCGAGCTTCTAGGACGGCCGGCGCAGGCAACCAAGAGCACCTAGATAGCCGAAGATGCCTCGAAGACTGCCCAAGATGGCCCCAAGGCGACCGAAAATTGATTCAGGACGGCCCAAGATGCCCCCAAGAGGGCCCGAAATGGCCACAAGAAGACCTCCACCAGGGTGCGAAGATACCAAAATCATTGATCACCCTTGGGTTGTAGAATGATGTTCGCACGCATTCTTGCCTGTTCGGGCGGTCATCAGCTCAAGAACGATGGCCCAAGAAGCATCCAAAACGGCCCCAAGACGGCCTCCCGTGGAACCCAAGACGGCCTTGGAAGGCCCTGTGACGGCCCAAGACGACGCCAAGACAGCCCCACGAAAGCCCCCAGACACCCACCATACGGCCAAGAGGGCCCCAAGACAGCCCAAGAGAGCCCAAAGCCGGCGTAAGAGGTCCCCAACACAGCCTCACAGGAGGCCAAGACAGCCCAAAGACGGCCCAAACGAGTTTCAATATCATCAGCATAATCCTCCTCCTCCTCCTCCTCCTCCTCCTCATCATCATCATCATCATCATCATCATCATCATCATCATCATCATCATCATCATCATCATCATCATCATCGTCATCATCATCAGCATCATCATCATCGTCATCATCAGCATCTCATCATCATCATCAGCATCCATCATCATCATCATCATCATCATCATCATCATCATCATCATCATCATCATCATCATCATCATCATCATCATCATCGTCATCGTCATCGTCATCGTCATCATCAGCATCAGCAGCATCATCATCAGCATCAGCATCATCACCAGCATCAGCATCATCAGCATCATCATCATCGTCATCATCATCATCGTCATCATCGTCATCATCGTCATCATCTCCAGCAGCATCATCATCAGCATCAGCATCATAATCAGCATCATCATCATCAGCATCATCATCAGTATCATCACCAGCATCATCATCATCATCATCATCATCATCATCATCATCGTCATCATCAGCATCAGTATCATTATAATCATAATCATCATCATTAGCACCACCACCATCATCATCATGATCATTATCGTCGTCGTCGTCGGCGTCGTCTTGATGTGCCTGGAAATAGGAAGCGAACCCAGGAACTATACGCAAATGTTTCCGCACGCATCGGCGTGAGCTCGAAACGATAAGGAAACGCCCGCCTGTTAACTAAAACAAAAAAAAACACATTCGCGAACACTGGGCACAACACGAGAGTGCCAATGAGAATGACTACGAGGCGGCCCAGCGAGAATCAGCAGTAGCAGGCAGTAGCAGCAGGCAGTAGCAGCAGGCAGTAGCAGCGGGCACTAGCAGCAGGCACTAGCAGCACCAGGCAACACAGGAGGAAGTTAGCAGCTGCAGCGGGCAGGAGGTGCAGCAGAGAAGCCTTTTGGAGAGATCGTCGAGCTCTTATCGTGCGTTACATGTCAGTCGTTGTGCGACCCACTGGAGTGGGGGGTTGGAAACACGTTGAAAACGTATTGGAAACGTACTGGAAACGATCTCAAACAGGCAGCTTCGACCCTTGGCCCAGGGAAGGCGGAAACATTGAAAATGTCGCATCCGTCGCTGGGGCCGCCGTTACGCGCCGACGATGCCGTCATGACACCGACGGTGTCTGGGGCCCTGACGCGCACTCCGGGAGGTCGGACAGCGATTGACAGGCAACGCACTATAAGAGCTCGATACTCTCTCAAAAAGGGCTTGTCTGATGCACCTGCTGCCCGCTGCAACCGCCAACCCCCTACTTGATCGTGTCTGCCGTTCCCTACTGCGCGCTGCTACTCGCTGCTCTTCGTTGCTGCAGCCTACTGGTGCCTCATTGTCGCTTGGTGGTTGCCAATGCACGCCCTGACAAAACAATACCAGAAACAACAAAGGCACGTTGCGAAGCAGACCTGGAAACGATGAAAACACGAAGCTGGACACAATATAAAAAAAAGGTCCTCGGATTGGCGCCGGAAACGATCAAAAAACGCATCGCCGCGGAGACCTGGCACTACTAAGAAACGGCAGCTGGAAACTATTGATACACGAGTTTTTGCATGAAAGCTGGAAGCCACAAAGAAACGCCCTCGGCGTTTCCAAGGCACACTGAGATCATGATCATCATCATCATCATCATCATCATCATCATCATCAGCATCATCATCATCATCATCATCATCATCATCATCATCATCATCATCATCATCATCATCATAATCCTCATCATCATCACCATCATCATCATCATCATCATCATCATCATCATCCTCAGCAGCAGCAGCAGCAGCATCGCAACCACCACCACCAACAACAACAACATCATCATCATCATCATCATCATCATCATCATCATCAGCATTATCAGCATCATCATCGTCGTCAACATCATCATCAGCTGCAGCAGCATCACAACATCATCCTCCTCATCGTGCTCAGCATCATCATCATCATCATCATCATCATCAGCAGCAGCAGCAGCTTCATCACCACCATCATCATCTTCAGCATCATCACCATCAGCATGCTCCTGATCTTCATCGTCATCATGATCGCCAACATCAGCGTCGTCACATCGTCATCATCATCATCATCATCATCATCATCCTCATCATCATCATCATCATCATCATCATCATCATCATCATCATCATCATTATCATCATCATCATCATCATCATCATCATCATCATCATCATCATCATCATCATCATCATCATCATCATCGTCATCGTCATCGTCATCGTCATCGTCGTCATAATCATCATCATCATCATCATCAGCAGCAGCATCATCATCATCATACCACCCCCATCGTCAGCAGCATCAGCGTCATCACCACCAACACCACCACCGCCACCATCCTCACCAGCATGATCATCATCATCAGTAGCATCATGACCAATGGAACCATCATCATAATCATAATCACAAAGTCATCGTCGTCGTCGCCGTCATCATCATCAGCATCAGCAGCATCATCATCAGCATCATCATCATCATCGTCGTCATCATCATCAGCATCATCATCAGCATCCTCGTCGTCACCCCCATTGTCCTCATAATCCTCATCATCCTCCTTATGGCTCTCCCAAGCCTGGAGACACGAAGAGCTACACGTGACGGCTTCCCGTGCCCCCTCGGACAGTCTCCGCCCAGAATGCTGGGCTAGAACGGTGGAGGGACTTGCTATAGGCAGCTGCATAGTTTCCTCAAATCTCTTTTCTCCGCTTCTTGCCACTTTCCTGTCCCATCCATTTCTGCCGTCTCCTCTCCAGCCCTCCCTCTTCGCCTCTCGTTCCCTGTGCTCTACTCTGCTCCCCCCCTTCTCACTCATAGCACCTCTCTTCCCTTTCTCTAGCTATTTCCTCTCCCCCATTCCCCCCCCCCCCCAAAAAAAAAACATATCCGCTTCTAACTCCTCGCTCGTCGGTGACCTGACCATCTCATCGTTGATCTTCGCCTTCTCGCCTCATCATGCACCCCTTTCGCTACCCTACGCTACCCCTATCCTGCCACACCACACCCTTCCACTCACCTGTCCTCCCCACCATTCTTCCCCTCCCCTGCGTTCCTCCTTTACACCGCCCTTCTTCACCCCATTTAGCTTGTTTATTGCAGCTCGAAGCGTTTTTGTGCCGTTGCCCTGGCCGTCACAGGTGGCCATCAGATACGTCTGATTCAGCCTGGAATTCGCACCGCGTATGCACATCAAAACCGACCATAGCTGCTTGCGTCGACGACTTACTGACCGACATCTCGCGGCAAAAGCAAATATACGACCTGGCCTGGCAGAAACCCGTTACAAGGTCCTACCCAGTTCATGCGACGGCATGCATACCACGCAGAGCACGTACAGCGCACAAGGAAGACTAGCACGCTGGAGCGGACAACTAAACACGACTACAGATACGCAACCGCAGCATCGTCATCCACTTGATCAGTTCCCGTGAGCTCGAAAGGGAAAAACAATGCAGTGGAAATGCAGCCGCTGGCGAAGCGTAGGGTCGCCTGGGTGGGGCTGGCGCTCCTGCCCCACAGTTACGCAGCATGCAGGTGGAACGGTCACAGAGAGAGAAGTCATGTTCATGATCGCCCTACACACCAAAAGCTGGGGATACTTGCCGTTCCTGCGTGACCACATGACCCCAAAGACGACGGATACCAATCGTTTCTGTGTGACGTTCGGGGCACGCCACCGACGACGCAATGTACCCACCCATGTCAAGACTAGCCTGGCGATGAACCCAACCCTAGGCAGACGCGTGTAGGGCGGGGCGTGGCGCTCTCGTCACAGA